CCCCAAAACCCCAAAACCCCAAAACCCCTGATTCTAAGATTACTGAATTTAAATGATACTTCTATTAATATAGAAATAAGTAATATGTTGAAATTCAAGCATTTTATCCTCATACATTTATGAGCTTTGAAAGATCTAGGACGTAGGTATCATTGTATGGCATGTGATGTCTATCTCCTCCAAAAATAATCCATTTGTCTCCCTCAAGCCAAGCTGAATGACCGTCTCTACCAGCAGGCTGCTTTTCATCTGTGATTTTTACTTTTGGAAGCGGCTCTTCTCTGTGTCCAGCACTAATGAAGGCTGAATAATTTGCATGATGATGATGGTGATGGTGGCCACTATGTCCTCCATTACTTATCATAGATTAGTTGAGTGTATGTTTTTTCTAGGTCTTAGCAGGAGAGTTTACTGATGTATGATGACCTCCATAACCTTTTCTTCTTTTCATAATTTAGAAGTAATGATCAAAGCTTTAATCAGCATTCTTAATAATGAACGCGTTTTTCATAGATATTGATGTCGGTGTTAGTAATTCAACAGCATTTCCTTCATTCTTGATTTTATGAGTAGTTTAAATCTAAAGTGCTTTAGGAGGACTTTTCATATGCATTCTCGAATGATCTTTGGGATTGTCAGACAATGGATTAATAGATGATTAAAATAGGCTTTTACCTCTGGTAGTCCTTACTGAATCATTTAGATTAGCTGCTTTTTAGAATGTTTGATTTAAAGGAGATTCGAATCCGTTAGAACCGCTCATTCTGTTAGTTTAACCTTTAGCATTTCCGCCCAAGTTTAATTAAACAGAATGCTTTTTGAATGCGTCACTCTGCTGCATAATTGCTTTATTTCTTGGTGAACCGCTCTATGATGCATTTTAGTTGTTCTCATTGCCGAGGAACCATCTATTTTCCTTAATATCAAATATGTGTAAGTCATTCAATTCGTAAGTAATGTCGTGTATTCCACCGAACACTATTAAAAATCTATCACCGAAAACACATGACTAATGCCCACCTCTCTCCTACGGAACCTCAGATTGATCTTAGTTAATAGGTTTTATTTCGGTCCACGTATGCTCAGAAAATATCCAAATGTCATTATATCTGACACTATTATCTCCTGCACCACCGAACACTAGTAATTTTTCATTGCCATTCGGATCAATTAAGACATTGGCACTGAGACTTGATCTTGGTGGAAGATATGGTCTACCTTATACCTCTAATAGCTCCCATTCAAATTTCTTTCCAGATTCCAAAACATGAAGCTTATATATGTCACCCATCTTCATTCCATTCTTAAAGCCACCAATAAGATATATTGTTGATCCTCCATTTTAATTTAATTTATTAGGTGTTACAAAGGAAAAATCATCCCTAGGCCCAGGAAGGGGTTTGCCGTTTCTCTCTGTTTGTCTTGCTGGAGGAATTGCATCAACACTGAAATTATTTAGATCAATGACATATAGTATATCACAGCTATCCATTCCAATGATACCACCATATATAATGAATGCCGAAATATTTGCCTATAAAACACCTCCATGATGTGAGAGTTTTTTAGGGTGCTTGCCTTAGAGCTTGACTTCTTCCCATTGGAGATTCTCCATCTCAAAATCATTGACTAATTTGTTTTCATCAAAGATAAAACTATAATCAACTCTCCATAAGTCACCATAGCTACCCTCTTTTAAATCTTAACCTCCATGTATATAGAAACTGAAAAATTTAAGGTTAGTTAAAATATTACTTGTTCTTCCAATGAAAAGACACATGATAAGCTCTCCTATTAGGTAATCTACCTGTTAGGAACAATTCATACCAAGCACAAACTTAATTTATGGCATCTGATTCATTTGGGATGCTAAGTCCCTTGAGTTTCTTAATATTCTTAGTTGTTATTGCCTCAAGATCATCTCTTACCTCTATGTTTTTAGAAGTGTCCTTTTGCATCTTTTTATTTATTTTTTTTAATTCACTGTATACTTCGATTCAATGATTATTTTGCTACTTGGGGTTTTGGGGTTTTGGGGTTTTGGGG